CCTTCTCCCCCCACTCACACCCTCCTGTTCTCTCTCATCTTTTCTCCTGTTCTCTCTCCCATCTTTTCTCTTGTCCTCTCCCATCTTTTCTCTTGTTCCGTCCCATCTTTCCGCGCGTGCTGTGAGTTCCCGCCTTAAGAGCCTGCTCAGACGCGCGTTCCTGGTTGACCTTTCCTAAGACGCCGGGCGCCAGCAGCCCGTCTGATTGCACTGATTAGCTCTACAGACACGGGAAAATGACTTACGACGTTTTTGTATAACTAGCACCTCGTTTTTGTTCTTTTTTTTTTTTTTTGTCCCGTGACCTTCGATATTTGTTTGGGGTAAAGTTGCTTGTTAGTGAAGTGGCTGTTGCTGTTGGTTGCTACTAATGCTGTCGTTATTGCTGTTGTTCACGAAGGTGCTGGTATATATTTTTTTTTATAGTAGAGAGTTTTACGGCACTCGCAACTGCATAAGGTCATAATATGAGCGCGCGGGACACACCAAATACTTTTAGTTGGTATGAAATTTTGAATTTTGCCCGGGTGCTGGTGCAGTGCTACAGGCTGTTTTAGGTGCTGTAGTTATTACTGTTGTTATTGCTGTTGTTATTTTTTAATGTTATTGCTGTTGTTGTTGCTGCTACTGCTGTCGATTTTTTTCTGTTGTTCTTGCTGCTATCGTTGTTGTTGTTGCATTTGTTTTGTAGTTAATTTTGTTATTGTTGTTGTTGCTTGTGTTGTTATTTGTTGCTGTTGTTGTTGTTGTTGTTGTTGTTGTTGTTGTTGTTGCTGTTATTGTTTCTGCTTTGCCTGTTTCTTACACTTAATTTGCAGTACATGAAGTTATCACGAACGTTTTACTGTCAAATTTCACAAGGAACAAGTAACCAATTTTAACTGTTTTACGATAACATCAACCCAATATAAATCATTTACGAGGCTTTTTTTCGCCATTGCCGATCCGTGATTTGGTGGGACACATCAAATCCACAGAATTAGAGATACCCATCACTCGATACAATACACTTCTCCACGAAAGAATCAGAACGGGTTTTTTGTTTTTTTGCTTTGAACGGCGAAAACCGTTACTAAGCATTGCACTGAAGATATCAGTTAAATAGAGGTGGCGATGTAAAGAATTAGAAAGAAAAGAACACACGTGAGAACCAAGAAACTGTGTGCTGGACAGGAAGAGCAGAAAGGTATTTGACATTTTTTGCCACTATCTGTCTGTCTGTCTGTCAGTATGTCTGCTTGCGTGTCTGTCTGTATATCTGTCTGTCTATGTGTCTGAGTGTATGCGTGTCAGTCTGTGTATCTGCATGTGTGTCTGTATATCTGTCTGTCCTCAGGCCGCTGTTTCTCAGCGTCTGTCCTTACACTTACTCTCTTTCTCCTCTCAAGCATATCCACATTATATTGGCCATTTCGTTTAAGCGAGAGCAGGATAGAAAGAAAAGGAAAGTGGTGTACTCAAGAGAAACAGAAAGACAGACAGAGGGAGAGAGAGAGAGAGAGAGAGAGAGAGAGAGAGAGAGAGAGAGAGAGAGAGAGAGAGAGAGGAGGGGGAAACAAAGAGAGAGAGAGAAAGAGAGAGAGAGAAAGAGAGAGAGAGAGAGAGAGAGAGAGAGAGAGAGAGAAAGAGAGAGAGAGAGGGGATAGAGAGGACAAGACAGACAGACATACATACATACATACAGACAGACAGACAAACAGACAGTCTGACAGACAGACAGACAGACGTATGTACCCTAATCAGACAGACACATGGACAGATTGACAGGAAGTCGGACAGATAAAAAGAGAGATGAGCCTTCAGACAGACAAAGAGACAGACAGACAGACAGACAGGGTTTTAACTGTATTGTTCATTGTCAGTCAGAACAACTGTGTTATAAAAGGGTCCCACTTTGTGAAGAATTGAAAAGGAGAATAGTCAGACAGACAGACAGACAGACAGAACAGAAAAGGTATGTGGACGGAAAGACAAGATGAGACACAGGCAGACACG